TAATGTTGTAGTTGTGCAGAATAAGAAATTTTTTTGTAGCAGAGGGTTGACATGAATTAGTTCTCTAGTTGTGCTTGCTTCAATGAGACTCTCGTTCTCTCTCTTGCTTAAATTTTTATGCTTTTAGTTTAAGTATTTTATAAAAAAAAAATGAGAGAGAGAGAGAGAGTTTGGAAGATAAAAAGGTGGTTTTTTTTTTTTTTTTTTTTTTTATGGATAAAAGGTCAATTTTTGAAGAGGAGAGAGGGGGAAGAATTATGGAGCATTTTCTTGTTTGTTCCAATGAAACTTCCTTTGCGTTCAAGCAACAAAGCTGTACATTAAAAGCAGTTTGTCAAACTTTGAATTATAATATTGGAATAACCTCAATAGATTTTGATGAATATTATATATGATATGAATATGGGTATTTGACAGCTCTTTTACTTTTCCCAAATTACAACCTAAGAGTACTGAAGCACATAAAGGACTCGTTTGCTTTGCATATTCAAGTTTTTAAATCGAATTAAGATATGACATTTTATAAGAATTTTTAACTGTAGCATAAAAAGTTAAATGTGACATTTTTTGAGAATTTTTTACTGTAAAAACATAGAGCTGAAAACTCGAATCGGTGAAATGAACGAGATCAAAATTAATTTCAAATTTGGACTCAAAAGAATAGGAATTTCTTCAATTTGTTCCCCTACAACTCAAAACAAAAATACCAAAAGTGTAACTTAGTATAAAAGTTTGGGAGAAGGGGAGAGTTTTCTTCCATTTTTAGTTGTAGGGATGAAGTAAGACAACCCCTATTTGTTGAGGGCAACAAATCCTATTTTATGACATATTCATCATTTTAAACCAGATAATTCTTTGCAAATTAGATGTAGATTTTTTTTTTTTAATTATACAGTAAAATTCTGATTAAGTGAGGTTACATGTCCTTGCTCATCTATAATGGCTCCGCCTCTCGGTACAACAGTGCAAATATAGGGTATAATGTTTTGATACCCTCAAAATGTATGCTGTAAAATGAAGAAACCCTAAATATATGTGTGTGCATTTATATGCGTAATTTTTTTTTTTTTTTTTTTTTTTGTTTTGCATAAGACATAGAGATATTCCAATTTGAGACCTCGAGGTTGTTAGGATTAGAAATTATTAACCAAGCTAAGCCAGCAACAACAAATCAAAGCCTATATTTTTTATCGTCATTCTTATGGAGGCTTTTTCTTGGTGCTTTTCTTGTCGTTCTTTAGTTTCTTCATATATTTTCCTCTTTTTTTTACCTTTTGTCAGTTTAGTACTTTCCTTTTCTTTCTTTCTTTTTTTTTGTTTTTTTTTTTTGTTTTTTTGCATTCCATGTAACTACTTTTAGGAGACTAGTTATGTTGCGTTTTTGTAATTCTCATCATTTTATTAGTGAAGTTATCTAGTATTTACAGTTAAATAGTTTATCTGATAAGTTCTAGAAAAAATAAACTATCAAAAAATTAATATTTTTAAGCGTTAAATTTGTATTAAAAATTATCTGATCTATATATTTTTTTAATTTAATATAATTTTCATCAAATTCAATAATTAAAAATTGACGGAAAGACCTTACCACAGAAGCTCCCAAAAATAAAAAATATAAGTGTACCGTCTTCAATATCCAAGGGCACATAATGAGGAAAGGCGTTGTTTGAGGGATTAATGAGCAAGTCTGTCTAGCTTTATGCACACACAAGGCAAGCAATGGACAACTCATATATACAAAAGGGAAATGAGTCCCATGCACTTATTTTTGGCCGACTTTTCCATTTTTTTAAATAACAAAATGGACTTCTAATTTTTCATATTTATGATCCTCGTCAACCTGCAAATGTGTATGAGTTTGACCTAATGGATTCTTTGATTATTGCCCATGAACTTTTTTTCTTTATTTTTTAATCTTTTCCCCTTTCTTTTAACTGAATTAAAAAAAAAAAAATTTAGCCAATGGCATAAAGTACTGTTAACTCACACGCCTGCATGGAAGAAAACAATTCCTTCCCTTATGTCTACGCTAATAATTTATCAATTTATCTCTTTTTAATACTAATTCTCTTCCTGTTTCTTTTTTGTCGGTTTTATTTAATTAAGAAAATTGTGTTTGAAAAATTGAAATCCATACTATTAATTTCTACATTTTATAACCAAATATATGTTGTGACAATACATTCATACAGTACATGTCAAAAGAGTTACAGTAGTTTCTATGTCTGAACGTTAACAATCAAATTACGGGAAGTGCAAATTTTGGTGTGATCATGAGAAGGAATAGAAAATAATAAATTCTCTGTAAAATAAATGTTACCTTATTAATTTGGGTTCTTTCATTTATATATATTATACATTAAAACATTGTGTTTTAGATTTTACTTCTCCTAGATATAGCAATTAGGGGATTCTTTTTTGTTTTCCTTTTTTTTTTTGGTATGAAACTTAGCAATTAGGGAACTAAATGGAATATGATTCATTTCGTCCTCAAATGTACATTATTATGAGTTTGGAAAAATCCTGAAAACAGAAACAAAGCATTTATATGTTAATCCACTAGACAATCAAATATTACGAAGGATTCATATGTCACTTTACTTGAATGGCATTAATTCTTTGGTTACTAATGCCCCTTATGTAGATGACCACCGAACACAAAGATCCATTATGGTTGAATGTGCAAACACGAGCTCCAACTCATCTCTCTCTCTCTCTCTCTCCCTCTTTGCATATCTTCAGGAAGTGGGAATGGACTTTGAATTTGGCTTCTTTTTCTTTTGCAGAATGAAAGGCTCTTGTCGGGTAGACCTTGGAAAAGGGCTAGCTAGCTAGCTAGCTACGTTTTTTATTTTTTATTTTTTATTTTTCATAAATAAATGCTAGCTAGCTATCTTTGGTTTTTTTTTTTTTTTTTTTTAATTGCTCTCTTGCTCTTTTTCATATTAAATTTTATACTTTTTAATGTTCTTAATTGAATTATTTTTTCTTTAATTTACTCTACTTAAAATTTCTGTTTTTTTTAGCAAAGTTGTCCCTTCTAGAACATGTTCTCATACGATCTTTATTATATCAAATGAGCCTCACAAATAAATCACCTTTTAAAATTATATTTCTTAAATGTATTCCTACTGAAGCATTTTTTTTTCAAGCAACCCTCTCAATAATATTTTCTCATAAACATTTTTTCTTTAATTTGTCTTTGTTCAACTAATAAACACCCTTTTAATTTTTTTAGATTAAACTCTTCAAAAGTTTAATTCACGTATCAAAAAATTTAATACACTGATCAATATGCACGTGTATAAAATGTGCTTCCAACTAGTTAATAATATTAGTTGTTGATATAATTAGAGTTTATAATATTTTTTACATTTTTAATTTATGTCTCCTGAAATAAAATCTTGGCTCTGCCAATAGTTTTAGCATAGTATCACATTAGTGCCTTGTTGTTTAGAAAATTTTTAAAAGGTTGCTTCATGATTTTCAAAAATATTATCCTAGTATCATAAGCTTGTGTCGGGACATGAAATGTCCAAATTAATCTTTTATTAATGAACACAAAATTAATTTCATAAAACTATTAAAAAATAAAATTAAAAAAATAAAGAAACCCACAAATCTTGTTTTCTTTATTTTTAAGAAAATTACTAAACTTATCCTTAGAGATCTAGATTTTTATTCTTTACTTTTGATTAATATCTTTTTGGTTAATATAGTTATTTAACTAAAAATAAATAGTAATAGTTATTTGACTAAAAATAAATGGTCAATGTTTGTGGGCTAAATATCAAAAGGACATTTATCTTCTTTTTTATTTTTTATTATTATTTTCTTAAATAATTTTACGAAATTAATTTTAGATTTATAAATAAAAGGGTATGTTGTTAATTTATTGGTTCAAAAAACCCACTCATGATACTACAAATGTTTTTGAAAATCAAGAGGTGCCTTTTTAATATTTTTCCAAACAAATATAAGGTATCATAATAAATAAAAAATTTATCTGATGTTCTTTTTTTTTTTAAATATATTAATATTTTTTTATTATAAGTTGACAAATTTATATTATTTTTTGAATTTAATTTAATTTTTAATTAAATTTAATATAAATTTAACAGCTAATAAATAAAGAGAAGTAGTGTTCATGAAAAAAAGCTTCTCCTCTTCATGCTTGTGCATATACAAGTATTGTGCCACGTAGAACCTGACCCCACCATATGTCAAGGTGCCGTGATATTGACCTTTTTGTTTGTTTGTAAACTTTTTACACTTTCAATTTTAGTAAAACCTTTTGGGGGAAAATTTTTCAAAGGGGAGTTGTTGTTGGCCATGTAAAAAGATGAGGAAAGTGATGATGACCAATTTTTATGAGTCTAGGGAGATTCAAACGTCCAACTACCCACGCATGACCTCGTTTTAAACCAACAGACAGATCCACCAAATGTACACCAATGTTCTTTCAATGGTGTGGGATGGCAGAGTCCCAAAAAAAAAATAAAAGAGAGCTCAAATTTGTATTTCATTTTTAATATGAAAAATGTTCACGTGTCGTCCTATGTTGTAAAACTCCACATTAGATTAGGTTAAACATTAGCAGTGAGAGAATTAATAATGAATAGAAACATGCCTTTGACATTGATTAATTTGTCACAGAAAAGGGATAAGATTCCCAATAGTGCAAGTCTAACCAACAAGCATATTTCAATGGAGGCTTATCAAAAACATAGTAATGAAGGAAAAAGTAAATCCAATATTAGTTCAGTCATTAAAAGTTAATATACTTGATTAATCGGCAAAATCTCACTCTCTTTTATCTTGAAAGGGAAAAGGATGGTGGGAGAGAGGGAGAGAAGTAAAGAGACAACAAACAAGTACAATTTCAAAAAGACAGTAAAATTCTAGAGGTGAAATTGTTTTTCTTTTTTTTTTTTTATAAAAAAAAAAAGTTACAAGGTTTTTGATGACGTAATTGAGAGAGAACCAAACAAAAACCCTGTCATAGCATCTAAAAGAAACAAGTGCGATCTTGGAAATCCAATATAGATCCAGTTACAATTTACAATGCTTTCCAAACAAATAAACTCCCACCACAAAACCAATATGGGCAACAGAAATTTTCACCCATAATCAATATGTTTCGACGCTTCAACACGAACATAAGCAATTTGCTAACAAAATTACCAAATCCGGTATATTTATAAGTTGCAGAAGAATGACATGTATGATGTTTTTTATAATTGACATGTATGGTTAGTACTTGTTGCTCACATGCCTTCTCTCTCTCTCTCTCTCTCTCTCTCTCTCTCTCTCTCTCTCTCTCTCTTCCAAATGAATTACTGCCCACATGCTTAAATCATGTATCATGACAACTTATCAGATTAGATGCAGTCCATAGGCAAATCGAGGTCAGGTCCTTAAAGCTTAAGATCCGCATATTGCACACTAACTACAGGACATCAAAGACGATGCCGTTGATGTGAAACTGAATACGGCACCCACCTCTAATTTATGACAACTTATAAGATTAGATGAAGGCCATAGCAATCGGTATCCAGGGAATGCTTTGCTCTCCATCAACCTTCCTCCCAATCGACGTCGTCATCACCATCGTCTGCTGTAGCATCAGCTTCAATGTTCAAATCATTGACCTTGTAATTCTCATTCGCATTAACTGTAGCCGTGTAAAAGGCAAATGTTAATGGCTATCAAAGTGAGACCATCTAGGAATAAACCCTCAAAATCCATCAAAAAAGAACCACATGTCGAAACTCATAAAGATGGATACGTCAACATGTATCGAACATTTGAACTACAATTTTCTTAACTCATTTTACTTTCAACTTTCAAGATCAGTAACCTTCTAATTCAACTGATATTTGCAAAAGTAAGAACATCTCATTTGATAAACAATCAGGTATCCACGAGTAACTTCTCACGCAATGATCAATTAGATTATTTTTTTGCAGGTAATAAGTTATTCGTAATATTCAAGAACGCTAAATGTTCAAATCATAGATCAATTTCAAAATTGGAATGCAGATTGTTAAATAATGATATATACCTGCAACCGGAGCTTCTTCCCATTCAACATCATCATCTCCTTCATCCTCGTCCCGTTTCGACTTCATTCCTACCTGACGACCAGGAGATGTGCTGGATATACCGTTCGACATTGGAGTGCTTGAAGGCTCTTGTTGTTGCTTTGCAGCTTCTTCAAGCTCTTGCTGTTTCTTCAATAGAGCAGCATAATAAGCCTTAACATATTCATCCTATTAATAGTCAGAAAGTCAAGTTATTTCCTTTTTAGGGAAATGGAAAACCATGAGGCACATAATGAAAACAAGAAATGTTGGCGTATCATTTTACAAACTTGTATATTCTTCGTTTCATCATGTTCAATCGTTGACTTTTTGTCGTCGGAAATCTCTGCAGACGTTGAACTGCCATCCATTTTTGCCTCTTGCTTGATGTCTCCACGTTGTTCCTTTGTGAGGTTCATCCCTTGCTTGATCATCCAAGGGGGCAAAACTTTCAGACTAATACTTTCAGCTTCAGATTTAATATTCTCTCCCTTGCCCTCGGCTCCAGAGAAGGCAACCTCCACCTGCCATGGTTACCACCACATATGAATTCCAAACCATACAAATTTAGGGAAAATACGAGTCCAAAACCTCTCAAACATATGATACGTAACAATAAAACAAATAATCATTGCTCAACCTCGGCCAGAACATAAAAGTAAGCACCGAATATTGTATCTGGTTAGTATGGTGAAACCAAATTTAACTTACAGTTTTTCATCTAAAACTAAAACATGAATACACACAGTTAATGTCTTGGGTGAAGAAGGTGGCTCCTTCAAGAAGTGTGTGTGTGTGTGTGGGGGGGGGGGGGGGGGGGG